TCAGTTTTCAGTTCAAACCTTTTGATTTCCCTAAACACTACCCCTACCAGATAAAAAGCAAACATTTCAATGCATTCACGCCTACACCTTGCTTTGTTTTTTTTACTAAGTTAAAACTATGAATACTAAAATAATGTGTATGATCCTTGAAGTAGTGTGATTATGCTTAAGAAACGAAAGCAGAAGAATTTCGTTTGCTTATTCCTCACTGACTTCTTTTTGACACACGTAACGTTTTTCTTATTTAATTAGAAAAGTAACTCACCCATAGTTAATGTGTTCAAAATACTTAGTAGATAATATCGCCCCATTCATTAATCTTGTTGTTTGCCAAATGATGAATTTGAAGCAGACCCACACAAGAATTTAGTGCTTAATACGTTTAAAACGGCTTTATATTTGCCCTTAGCGCTTAAAATAACATCAATTAATTAAGAGTGGTGTCAGTTAGCAAAAGATTAATTATGAGATATACTATCCTTACTAACGTTCCACAAGTTCCCTGATTTAGCATTTAAATGTTTCAATGTAGATACAAGTTCAGGTGGATGGCGATTCTCACCCAGTGCAAATTCCAGAGGCTTCTCTACGACATCATTTTAAGTCATTTCAATTTGGTGGTGTCTCTGCTGCACTGCAAAGGAAGCTGCAAATCGAAAATTTTCACAATTTCACTGGATGTTTCCAACACGTAAGTCTAAAGAACCAATCTTGGATGTTAATGGTTTTCAAATAGGGTTTTACAAAAGGCATTATTTACAATTTTAATTTTTTGGTGATAAGTATTGCTTAAAATGAGATGTAAAAAAAGCTAGGGGTGATTGCATAAAAGATATTAACATTTAATGACATCCCTTGTAGTGCAGCGCGTTTTCAGCCAAATTAATAGGCCCACTAGGGTTTGAATTGGTTTTTATATTATCGATGGTTTGTGCAACCGTCTGCACATCAGGTAACTTGGGCAGCACACACAAAGTCACATTTTCAGTTGGAAGCTAAAAGCCTTACATGCCGACATGTAGGCAGAGGGTGGAGAGTGAATCCGGAAACGGTCTAATGAAACTGAATGTCGCCATACTGTAGCACATACGCTATGTCTGGATTTACACTTTCGCCGTCTTTTTCTGTGTACGAGTGCAGTCTCGGGCCTAGGAAGTTGTTTATACTTTGTACACTTTATCTAGTACTTTGCCATTTTAGATTTTCTACAAAACAGCTGACGGTCACGTTGACTTGATTGACGTTGTTCATAGCAATTTATCAACGGACACTATACATTCACAAATCGGTCAAGTACACCACGAGTCGGTTGCACTTGAATTATGTCCTGTCGCACAAAGAGTCAGAAGAAATGCTCATTCGCGTTCCACAATGGTCACTTTTGTGCGACCCGGTGGATATTTACGCTCCCAACATGGCTGGAAGACTGTGTCGGCTGGGAAAATTGCCTTCAAAATTCGTACACTCAAACTGAATTGCCTTCTTTTATTCTCGTCTTCTGAATGGCCTGTGACCGAGAAGAAGGCAGTTTTATCAAGAGACAGACCTATTCATCCAATTAACCCGGTCGATAGACTAATGGGAAAGGACCACTTCTCTGTGGAACTGCGTGAAGGATACCTGGTCCTTCTAATTAACACGGGATCTGGAATCAATGAGTTCGCAACTGATGATATTTGGAGAGGTAACGGGAGAAGAAGCAGCTGGTTCGTTGCAGATGGTCGTGCTCATCAAGTGGAAATTCAGCTTACTAATGGCACAGTAATAGTTAGATTGGATGGACAAATGCAGAATATGAGCCCAAAAAAGCAACCAAGGTACGTACGAAATTTGACTGTTTAGGTGGCATTTACCATGGTCTTTACACTTGTCCGCAATCAACTAGACGGATCCTAACATCATGTCAAACATGTTTCACACCCCCCACATTCCAACGTGCCAAAAGCAATCGAATGATTTAATTAGGTGACTTTACATCAAGTGTACAGTTTGGTAGAGTTAACAACGAAATGTGACAGCAAGATATTTTTGTGGATATTTATTAATTAAGCAAAAGGTAATTCGATAAAACCATCAAATCAGTTGAATTTCGCATAAACTGCCGGCAAACGAGTCAGAATAAACTAGCAAGAAGTTTTGCAGCTTATATCCATTTGTGACATTTCTAAAATTAGTTTAACAAAGCATAAATCTTCATTCATTGCAGCTACACCAGGTCCTAGGGGATCTGATGAGTGGTCACTAAAAGTCTATGTGCTCACGTTTAACTTTGATTGAAAAAAAAATAAGAAGCTGATAAACAGTGTCAAATGTTAAATCCACGAATTTCAACCCAGACCACAAATATTTCTAAAAGGTGTCTTTGGCACATTTAAGACAAAAGCAAGTTAATACCAAAGGGGCAAAAGTATAATCAAATGCACTGAATTTCCGTGTCATGTTAAAAATTATGCTCTTTCAAAGTACTGTTCAACTTATAGCAAAATTTTAAACATATTTAATTTTGTAGTTTTATAATCACGTTTAGTCACAGAAAGGAAATATTTTGCTTATGTTTTCAGCTAAGCAGCGTAAAAGTGTGTCAATCGAAAGCCAGATAATGTGTGATCCACTCAATGAATATTTTAAAATAAGTAATGAAAGGCACTGCGTTTCTTCATGGTATTGCAGCCAAATGTTTGAAGATATCGAGTTATGCTTTGCAATTTTAAGCAAGCATCGGAGTATACCATAGTCGAAGTTCATGCTGTTTTTTAAACTTTGTTTGGTGTGGGCGTGCCTTAAGGTATAATCAAGGCAAGGAGTTGTTTGCATAGACCAAATAACAAGAGAATTTGGAAAATCAAACCGCAATTAAATAATGATGGAACGTTTTAAATTCCATTTTCATGAAATCTTAATGTGTAAATCATTTACTAGGCTATTTTACTGATGACGATAGGTTTGTACAAATCCATTGTGTCTAGCGTTTGAAAAACATAAATTGTTTTGATTCTGCGTCAAAAATATCAAGAAATGAATAAACTTTGATTTATATTTCACGTATCCTTATAGTAAAGCCACAGGTATTGCAAGCGTTTTCACTAATTTCCTGTTCTTTAGGTTATAGAGCATAATTATTGTGAAATCATTATAAATGTCAGTTTATGACTAATTAATTCCATCAAAAGTCTCAGGCTTTTTTGTTTGATTTTACAAAAAAAATGATTTATTTTAAATCTTGTTCTAATTCCGACATATTTATATTATCTACGTATTATCCTTCATGAATTTCAGACATTTTGTTTAGTACGAAATTAATCTCTGTACAAATGTAACACCACTCAACTTCGCGAGTATTCGTTCTGGCGTCAGAACTATCTTTTGAAACTGCATCTTACATTTTGTTGATTTAGAAGTGTGTGTCGAACAGCATATTTTCTTCTGACTTAAAATGAATAAAATATTTCTAAATGGGCGTTACCCGATTAGACACTCTGATTTAAATATAAAATGATGTTAATATTGGATGTGTTATGCTCCGTGTACATATCTTATCGAGATTAATTAAATACGTGACAAATGCCCAAATCAGTACACGAATGAGCAATATGATGATGTTCTTGTGCTGCTTATAAAATATTCCAGTTGCGCAAGCATATATTTATGTAAGTTTATAGAGGCCAGCACTTTCTGGCTTGACGTGACCAATAAAAAAAGCTGATTTACTGGTACCTTTGTGATTGTATCATTGACTGCTAGGAACTTCCACGAAGATGCTATCTGTAGAGCTAAAAATTCCTTGCTGTCTCCATCAAGGTTGAGATAATGTGAAGGCAGACTTACGTGATAAATTAATACATCACATAAAAAGTAGAAGTTTCGTAACTCTGCAAATCTGTAATAATTTTAACAACAAAAGTTGCTGTATACACATGAGAGTCACGCCATGCTTATGAAAATTTTATTTACCAAAATTTTTAAAACCAAAATGAGAACTATTATTGCAACCTTGGTTTGTGTTTAACAGAATACAAAGGTAATCTTTAATCGGGCCAAAGTGATTGCGGAAAAACTATATGTGCACTAGTTCAAGGAAAACGAATTGCCATGTTGAATGAGAAGTTTACAAATGACTCAGCATCCTATGGCCACTCCGATGACAGTTATGTCGATTTCTTCAGCCTGGATAATTCTTGCAAACATCTACGGGAAACTCTCGATTTTTCTGAGTACTACCATGCAAGTATGCATTGGATCGAGCCTGTAGATGGCATGCAACATTAGGCTCATGGTAGATGAAATGGTTGGATTTAGGTATGCAGAGCTGCTCATGTCTATAATTTGTGCCTTTGCTTAATCGATGTCTTCCAGATAATTCACTTTTTCGAAAAATGTAACTGCAGAATCAACTCCATTTTTGCGAAATTGACGCCATTTACAAATAACTATTCCTCTATGCACTACTCCATTTTGAAAGGCATGACTGGGTGTTTCCGTGTCACTCATATCCAAGTTTTTTTTTAAAGTATACTTTTAAACTTGACATTTAAATTTGTTTAATTGTAGTTTTTTTGTATTTTTGGTGTCTCGGTCACTCATGTTGTGTTATATTATTTTGAATCTCAAAAATTTATATTTTTAATGGCAACAGGAAAATAAAACAGTCAGTCGAGCGTATGCTGAATAAATATGCAATATTTTATACACTTGTAGATACACTGTCTTGAATTTAAACGGCCACCTCTATATCGGGGGTTTGTCTGAAGAACTTAGAACCAGTGCCCCACCTCAGGTGTGGTCAGCTCGTCTTCGTGAAGACTTCGTTGGCTGCCTTGGCGATTTGTTCGTCGATGGGATGCTCCTGGACCTGGAATTAGAGACAACGGCTTATTGGGCCAAAGGGTATGCTCAGGTGGGGGAGAGCACCTTAACATCGCCAGATGGTGCCTGTTCCACACTGCAGAAGGCATGTTTTCCTGGAGAATGTCTTCGAATGTCATGGGTGGAGCCAGTATGCGACTGCACCAACACGAACTATGCCGGAACAAACTGTAAACAAGGTGTGTGTTAAAGGATTTACTTCCAAGTTGTCGTTTTAGATTAAGTTTCTGATCTGCATAACCGAGTCTGTTTGTTTCGTGGTGACTGCTGACCATCGTTAATGGAGTACGCAAAATGTGATTATCAAGAGCTTCCGTTTTCAATACCTGGTCTGTCGTATCGATTGCTATGTCAAATATTATATACTGTCTACACTTCTAAAAGAATTATTTGTCTCCTAATAAATTATAAGTACAATCACATTCGATTTGTAAACAGGATAATGATTTGCAGATGGAGATGATTTTAGAGATTATCGGATACAACATTGATTATGTAAATCAGCACTTACAGACAGATAATGGGGACTCACGTCCATTATGGCTAAGGGCACGAATTTTTAACAAAATATAATAGAAGATGGGACATATACGCAGCATTCGAGATGAGGTACACAGTGATTTATTGAACTAAGGTGTGATTCTGTTGTATAAAGAAGTCGGCAACCCTCAGGCAGGTGATTAAATTACAGTCATATGGAGATGATGCAAGTCAAATTCAAACATGACTCCTATGTACGAAATAGTGTAAGAGTAGGTAAATTGAATACTGCGAACTGTGTTTGGGGCCTTGATAATAAGCATTAGTTTCACTTAAGTCGGTTGTAGGAAAAGAATATGGTGTTTAATTTTATTGGGTGATAAAAATGTAATCTTATTAAATCCCTTAAACGTTTATCAGAACGCAATTCAAAATGCAAAAATGTATTCTTTTTGAGTAAGAGCACATAAACATCCTTTCACATTTGTAAGTACAAAATTCAACAGCCATTTGTTACAACCTGCCATGTCGTCAAATGACGACGGTGAATGAAATGTCGTCGGCGTTAAAAAACTAAATTCTGCACGGGAGTGTTAATATAAATGTTTGTTCGTTGGTAAAAGACTACTCGGTAATTTAGCATGCGATGTGCCAAACAGTAGCAAACTAAAAATGACCACATTAGTAATAAGCTATAAAACACAGGACGTCATGTACCAGTGCATGTCTTATTTTTTGTATTTACTTAAAAAGCACATCTTTAAGAACAAAACTTAGTAGTTAGTTCAATTTTGTTTTATCCCTTTTATAAGTCGCAGTTAAATTTTCAATTTTTCCCACAGCACCCTCTCGTTGACATTTAGTTACTAAAATATACTTTCTTTCTTTTAAACTAAGAGTCGCATGTGCTGACGTTCAACGGGTACCAGGGCATCAGAGTGCAGCTTTCTTTGTTACCGCAGCAGTCGGAGGCAGAAAGTCTCATTCTTCGATTTCAGACGTCCCAACAAGATGCGCTCTTATTTGAAAGTAGTAGCGCCACTTCCACTGCTCCTGATCGTTTTAGTGTGCAGATACTCAATGGAAGAATCGTGGTATTTTACAACTTGGGTGCTGAGACCAGAGTAAGTGTTGTTGATTTTGGTCTTCATGGTACATGTTGCAAGTTCCAAACTGACGCAAGTAGAGCAGCCTTTTAATCTGAGTTTACGCTCTAGTCCGGCGAACGGATAAAGTATGCAAATATTCCAAAACATTTTGGAAATTAAAAGGAATCCTCCATTTACCTTAACTGTTGACCATCAACCTTTCGTTTGGACGTATTGAATCCAGACATCACTTGAATGGGTGCATTCGGATTCTCTGAAGTTGATTGTAATGTCATAAGGCCAAATGTAACTAAATATATTGTTTTGGGACGCTTCAAAATTTTTGTTATCACTTTCTGAGAAATCTTTATTTAAATGCCCGTTTCAAAGTAATCATTCTTGAGATACTTGTAAAATTGTGAAGATTTTGATCGTGCTACATTGGAATACTTATGTGAACTAGACCACGCTTCAACAAACAAGATTCACACGACAGTGAGACTTAGGGTTAGTGATGAGTTAATCCAAGTTTTTTTCTGTAGCTGCACAGATGTATAACAGGTTTAGTCTAAATTTATCAGGTAATGTGTTTGAATGCTAAGGGCCAGCAAAGTCATTCAAGGTCGTTTGTTGCGCAATTTTGTTAGATTGCCATATTTTTGCAATAACAAATTATTACAAACCTTAATAAATAATCATTCACTTTCCTAGATTTTCTTATTTTACCGACTTTATTATCTTTCTAATCATATATAACAGTAATGTAATCGAATTGGGGCCCTCGTATGACCTGAAGTGCAGCATTTTAGGATACTGGTTGCTAGCATTGACAAAGTGCGCATTTGCAAACGGCAACTTGATAATGCATTTTTAGGGTCTAGCTCTTTTGATTTGTAAGTTATTTGCTTCCAGAAATGGCCTCCGCAGGCCCACGAGTTATCATTGTTAACCCAATAATTATATTTTGGGTTTCAGACGATGATACATATCTTTTTTAGGGTAAGCATTTAATTTAAACGCGTTCACTCCAATTAAAAATGGGGGTCATGGAGTAACGTATTGCCTAAGACCCAAAGTTTTATGACTTGAAATACTGTTGCAAAATTTGTAGAAAATTTTATCAAGCAATATTTCAAAAAAAGCCCTTAATGCTGTTTTCATTGCTGGCAGATAGTTCAATATTTTTGTTAGTTAGTCCACTATCTTTATCATGCGTGTACACTACCCAAAATACCAAACTATAAAAT